AGGAAAACATGAACGAATTGTAATACTTTTTTGCATATGAAGCCTGGATGTTCAAGTGAGCTCTCTGGAATTGATTTAAATGAAGTGCAACTTATTCAGATTAAGGTAAGATATCAGCTTTTATTTTTTAGAATTTATAAACGATACATAAATTTTCAAGAGACAAGATCTATTCAATATAATGTATTGCACCTTAGACCTCAAATTTGTCCTTTGTTGTAGATAACCAGTGCTGGATTGTGGTCAAGAAATGAGTTTGAACCTGTTGATGTAAATTACCCTGATTTGAAAACCGTAACTGAAACTGTAGAAGTTGCAAGTGGTGATGGTGAAGGGTTGATGTTATTGGATGCCAAGTTTTGGTTGAACTGGTTTGATTCTGGTGCTAGGAAGGGAAAATCAGCATTGAAGTTTTGGAATACTGATGGTGAACTTATTGAGCAGCATGCAGAAAGCTCTACCGATGGTGAAATCTCTAAGTCAAATATTGACGATGTTGTTGCTAAAAGCGAGAAGGAGACATGTAATGGTTTCTTTTTATCAGCAAAACAGAAATTTAAAGCAGCTGTTTTTCACTTTGGCAAAAAGTGGTCCAGACGTTTATCTTTCATTTGGAGACATGCAGTTCAGATCTTTGGAAGTTTTCATAAGTTGTTGGTGAGTGAACAAGGAAGCAAGCATGTCCTTTCTTCATGGCTTAATCTTCTCTTTGCTGAGTCTTGAACTTCTTACATGCAGAATATAACAGGTTTACATCTAAATCTTGATGTTCCTAAATGGTTGCATATACTACACTTCGACAAGCTTAACTCGTATGCAGGTAGATAACATCATATCATCCTCCCATCTTGTTCTCTTGGTCAAATTATGAGTATTTTAACTTTAGAAATAATCATAAATTCTTAGGTTTCATAAATATTTGTGATATTGATTTCAGTGCAGTGGCTTGAGAAAAGAAGTAAAGCATTTGAACCAACTTATCTATACTCTTTGGAAAAGGTATTTTTTATCTGTCTGAATTTCTCTTGTTTTGTAGGATCTTTGATGCATTCAATGATATATTGTGTATGGATAAAAAATATCCATTTTTTCAAGTTTAGTATCCTACCTTTAAAGTAGTGCTACTGCTGCAGGGTTACTTCTTGCTGCCTGAAGCGGCTAAGTCTCAACATAACATACGCACGGTTAATATTAGCATATCAGCTCGACATCCCTGTTTTGGGAACAGGTAATATGTGCTGAAATTTACTGTTTGCAACTCCCATTTTCTTCTTTTTGTGGATTGAGATATTTTAATCCTCGTGTGGGTGCTGCAAATAAACAGAATAAAAAAGCCATATATTAATGCCATTTTATTTGCAGGTGGCAGCAACTTCTCATCAATAGATTTGTTGGGTATGACACTATTATGATGAATAGTTTATTGCATCATCCTGGTCAAGGTAATACTTGTACATGTACATGACTGCAGCATCACAATTTTCTTCTATAGCTTTTTGAGTTTTACACTGTAACTACACGTCTATAAAACAATATTAGATGCAGTTTGTTAGATGTTTCAGCGTATTTCATTTTAAGGTTGTTTATGTTTTCATGCTTAGCTTTCACTTTATTAGTCGCTTAACATCTTTGAGTGGTAATTTTCTTTATATACCTGATAATATTTAGCAGTCATGCCTGTAACATTATGTACTTAACCCTAGTCCTGATAGTCGTCAGTATGAGATTATATGCTGACTTGCTGCACATCCTTTTAATCCTGATGGTGGTTTTTCTTTGTACTGAATGTTTCCGGTCTCCTTGTGGCTGATTTTTGGCTATCTTGTATATGTCATGTTACATGCTAAATTTAGATTAGCATTATGACGATGGGCTTTATGCATTAATTGGGGTGTTTCATGTTTGCTGCTCTTTCTGCATGGTGATTTTGGGGTTATTTTGTCCATATTTGTTCTTTACGCATGTTTTGAAACTGTATTGCAGGTTATCTTTATAATTTTCAGACAAAGGAGTTCTATAATCTTAGTTATGCACAAGAATTGCCTGATGGTTCTGCAAGACTTGGAGGTTTGTAGTTTTAATTTCTTTTCACATATTAAGGCATTTTATTACACTAGCCATCTAATGCTACAACAAAAATATGTTATTCGGACTCGGGTGTGAATGTCTGATACGTGTACGAGTCCGACACGGATATGTTTGATTTTTTTCTAAGTTTTCTCATATATTTGGAGGATCCTTGGAGGGACATATTTCCATACCCATGTCGGGTACAAGTCTATGTAACATTTTGCTATTAGGACATCCCCTGGCTTCGACTAAAATGCCGCTGACCATGTCCAAGGATGTGGTTTTAACCCTTGACCCTTTTGCAATAGAACATGATAATATATAATTGTCATGTTTCTTGTCACAAGTGGATGGAATTTTCTTTGGAGGAAGTTAATTTTTTTATTTGGTTCAATGCAGACTATCTCGTCACCAAGTGTGGTGTGCTCATGATGTCTTTGTTCGTATTTTTCACAACAACCATGTCGGTATCATTTACATTGAGGGAAACTCAGACTCGCATGCTGAAGTTCACAGGTTCATAATGCAAGCTATGCAAGTTTGTGCAGCCATAGGATTGCATTCTTTCCAATTTGTTGAACAAATTCATGATTATAAAATTGATACCAATTTGTCACCCTTAAGAGTTTTAAATCCTGTAGGATTGGTATTCATTTTTGTTTAGGCTCTCTACGTTGAGTTTTTGCCTATATTTGACCCAAGGAGTCATTCGATCAGATTACATTGATGGATGAATCTGTGGCTTGGGTTAGGTGGAGGCACTTTGACATTGTTAAAATGCATCATTTTTCCTTCAGTCTTCAAATATGAATTAGATCTCCTTTTCTCAAATTATTGCAGTGCAGCTTCAACACCATGCTCGACATAGGCTTCCGACATTTCAGTTGATATTTGTGCACGTAATTGAATCTCTTGTATTTGTACCGGTAGGCATAAATCTTATTTCAACTTATCTCATAATAATTACTCCCCTGAGCCTGTTTATTGATTTAAAATATCTCTTGGCTTTTCATTTGAACTTCCAAGCATTTGCCACTGGCGTTAAAAGGATGGTGCTGTTGTCTTGCAGATTATGATCGGCATCCTATTTTTTCTGTTTGAGTTCTACGATGATCAACTATTGGCTTTCATGGTTCTAATTCTTGTCTGGTTATGTGAGCTTTTTATACTGATCAGGTCCCTCTCTCTCTCTCTCTCTCTCTCAACGTTACTTGGATTGAGATGTATGTCAGATACATGTTTGTGTTTGACATGGCTATTTTCCTATCAAAAAAAAAATAATACCCCTGTTGATATTGTGTTGGACACGAGTGCATAGCACTCGACTACTGTACGATATAATCATAACACTTAAATTAGATATTCAATCTGACTTCTTTTGCTTTTTAATTGGGTGTGGTCTAATATGCACGATATATGAATACGCATCCAAGGAATTTACTTGTAATTTCAACCTATTTAATATGATTATTTCTGTTTGCAGTGTTCGGACACCAATATCAATGAAGTTCTTTCCTCGCTTCTTTTCACTTTACTTTCTGGTGTTTCACATTTATTTTTTCTCCTATGCATACGGTATGATCCGATACTGTCATCATACGATTTGCTTTGCTGGAATTTGTTTATCTTATCTGAAATCTGTAGTTTAATTTCTCCAGGTTTTTCATACTTGGCTCTCTCTACAGCCGCAGCATTCATGCAGCACCTTATTCTGTACTTCTGGAATCGTTTCGAGGTAACAATCATTGAACGAGCTAGCAATCTTCATTTCTACGTTATGATTTGCATATAAAATTTTATTACTCCTTTTATGTGCATTTATAATTCAAAATTCTAATTAAATGTAAAAATTTACATAATTTATAACACAAGAAGAGAATACGAGCAAAGAAAAATCTAATGGCCTGAATCCATGTTACTTGTTGGGTATGAATGTCTCCAACCGGTATGTTTCAGAAAAGAGTATATTCAAAATTTTCAAGATTTCGACGTGTTTGGTGGGTCCTTGGTCATGTCTGGATGTATGTCGGAATAACATAGTTCCGATTTATATTTCATTAAAATAAAAATTACATTTCTAGCGCTTATAGGCATGTTACTCTTTTAGGTACCAGCAGTTCAAAGGTTTATGCAAAACCGGCGATCTCAGCTTCAGCAGCATCCAGACTTCCATATCACCTCCTCAACCATACTTGCATCTACTCTACACATTAGACGATTGAACACCCGAAATCCGGGCCTAGCTAATACAGATCCTTCCTCTGGGCTAGGGTTGAGAACAGGATCCAACCAAGAAGTGCAGGCAAATGGGACCGGAGAAGCTGCTGGCCCTCAAGGACACTCTGGAAATGACAACACGAGCCAGTCTGGCAACCCTGTTCAGATTCCTGGACAACCTGAGCTACCACCACAAGTCGAAGCTGGTTCTAATCCCGGGACTATGAGTTCATTCAATTCACTGTTATTATGGATCTTGGGAGGTGCTTCATCTGAGGGTCTTAGTTCTTTTTTTCCATGTTTCGGGATGTGAGAGAACAAGGGCCGGTTTACACCGACTCCACTAGGCATGAAGATCGTGCAACATAGAACATCCGATAGTCCTGCGCATATTTGGCAGCTCTCTCAGAAGCAAGGGAGACGATAGATTTTAGTATTAGATATTTGTATAGCTAATGTTGAGTCATCTATACAAGAGATGAGCATACTATGCATGCATACATACAAACATATGGTACGAATACCAAATGTTTTTAAAGTCTGTATAGTTAAAAACTCCTCTAAATTTTTAATGCAATTTAACTCTTTAAAGTACTATAATAAAGTTTATTAATATTAAATTGATTTTTTGCTCCTCGTTCGAATGTTGACATTTACGAATCCTCTGGGAAAGAAACTACAAACATTAGAACAATTGACTTAAAAGTGTACTATTTTGTTTGAATTACAGCCAAAACATTCCAATGCGTAATAAGGGATCAAGTTTCATCATCTAAATTAAGATGCCTATCAAGAACAACCTTCCAATATACTACACGCTTCTGACCGCTGTTCATTGGAAAGATTAGTTGGAAACTTAACGACGAATGTGATTCGGAGATCACCTCGGTTGCCTCCTTCGGCATTAGGCATCCCTTGGCCTTGAATCACCTTTTCGTATCCCGGATATACAATGTCATTAACATGTATGCTCATTGTATCCCCTCCAAGCAAAGGGACTGCAAGTTGGCAACCTGTTAAGGCCTTCACCAATGGGATCTCGACTACTATCTCCAAGTCGTCGCCAGTTCGTTTGAACAAGTGATGCCTCTTCTCTTGTACTGAGAAGATGATATCAGCCGGAAGGTAGCCCGGGTTTTCGTCGCCTTTGCCTTCGAAGGTAACCTTTGTTCCTTTTGTCCATCCTGGCTTTATGTTTACTGTCAGAGTGTCCTCTTGTTTCACAATTACTCTGTGGTGAGAAATATGAATGTTACATATACTTAGAACAATGATGGTGTATATATGAAATGAACTCGAGTTCCGTACCCTTGGTAGGAGATGACATCTTTGACGATGTTGATCTTCTTTACCGCTCCGAAGCAAAGCTCTTCCAAGGTGCATTCAAGTGTTTTCTCTATCGGCGGAGGTTTTCTCCGAGCGATGGATTGAGAGAATACAAGTGGAGTGGTACTCCTCCGACTTGTACTTTTCGAAAGTTTAGGTTTCTCTGTCTCTGATGTGCTTTTTCGACTCCTACTCCTCGAAAGAGAGAAAACTCGACTGACGCTAGAGCTTCTCTTCGTTTGTTTCTTTTCATCTTGTTGTAGTTGCGACGTGTCGTCTTCGGTTCGGCTCTTTCGACTAAAGGTTCTCAAAAGTGAGGATTTGCTCGACGATCGGCACGGGCTCTTGGACAAGTAGGTCGGTCCAGGCGTAGGTGTGTGGCTCCTTCTACTCGAACTCCTCAGAAGACACGAAAATTCGTTATCATCCGCACGTAGCCTATCTTGTTTCTCTCCCTTTTTCAATTTATCTTCCCTCACCTTCCTACTGGGTGTCTGAAATTACAATAAAACAAAATCCAACATCAACATACATACATACATATGCATGGTTTGCACGGGAACTACATGCACAAACCTTGTCCACATCACCACGATCCTTTTGGTTTTTCTTCGGAGAATGTTTATGATCAGAGCACCATTTCTTGACGAGAGATCTGTACGCCTTCCATGACACGTTAATAATACCGTAAAGATCCGTCGCCGAACGATGACGCCGGTCGTGGTCACCATCACGATCACGATCGTGACAATGATGAGAACTCGAGTGATCTCCCATGAGAGAGAGATGTTATACGATAGCGGGAATTAATACGCAAGTATTACAACAAAGAGACCCGATTTGTGGCAAGGGATAGAAAAGGAATGAGCGAGAGAATGGTTTGTGAAAGGCCAATGAGTCGCTACACAGCAATTTGATAGGAGCTTTTTTTAGCAATAAGAAAAGGTCGGTTGTTTGTTGTTAACACTGTTTTGTTACTACTATATTTAGTACTTTTAAACCTGTTTTTTAACTATAATATAACTACCTATTCTTGTCAACTCGATTGGTTGTCTATAAACATATCTTTTTAAAATAATATAATTGAATTTATGTTTTTTATACTTTTATAAATTTTTGAATAAAAAATATGGATAATACTCTAAGACTAATGATAAAACCTAAGTGATTGTTTGTTTACTTCAGAATGATTCATATGCTCTGTATGAATTAGCTCTGAATGTGACATGTTGTTTGATAATAGCTCTGAATCATTCAGAATGTACTTCCGTGCTGAATCAGTCAGCACTGAATCATTCAGAGGTGAGAAACAAACAGTCTGAATACTGAACGGTTCAGCATTCAGCGCTGAATGGTTCAATTCATAGCCAAACAAACAGCCCCTAATCCATATGAAAATAATTTTGTTCAAAACTAAAATTTAAAAATTATGGAAATGAAAATTGAATAAATTAAAGTATAATAGCTAAATTAATTATTTATGTATAAGTAGAAGGACTAATGATATAATTTAACCTATGCCCTTTATAAGTAGAAGGAAAATGGGTTAATAATGATCAAACTAAGAACCTAATGTCAACCATCTTTGATTTGTAAGTAAAACTAATAATTATAAATAGCATAGGTAAATAATCAAAAGTGTTGATGATTATTTGATAGGTTTTGATATAATAATGTTATAAAAATTTGGATTTAAGATTTGGTTTGCTTTTCCTATAAATGTAGAGATAATCGTTATAAAACTTCTTTGAGTTAATTGCATCATATGTTCCTAAACTTAGAGAGAAATAACAGGGTTTACTGTAGGGATGTATTCTCGGTCCCCCCACGATTTTTGTTCTATCTTTTTTCTTGGCCCGGATTGTAATGGGATTTTAGAATTCAGATCATTGTTTTATAATTCAAAAAGGTAGCTACACTCGTCTCATTTTGTTATATACTCTCGTCCTTGATCCCTTTGCATATAGATGTTTTATGTGTAACAACTCACGATGGCTACCGTTGTTACTAAAATTCATAATAATAATGAATTCACAAATATGATTTTACCTATTTTTTTAAGGGTAATGGTATTTGACTATAGGATATTGCTTTATTGAGTCTCTTGGGTATTATAAGTTACAAAATAGTCTTTCGACTTTAAGATGTTGTCTTGTTGAGCCCCTCGACTATTAAAAGTTACAAAATAGTCTCCCGACTATTTATTATGTACTAAACTCGTTATTTTTTCGTTAAAAAATTAACAGTCGTCTGAGCTGGAATATTTTTTTATTATGAGATCATATTTTATCATATCTCAGTCAGCAGGTTAACGTTCAACTCAGATTGTCATCTTTTTTAACAAAAAAGAACGAGTTTGGAATATAATAAATAGTCTGGTAACCATTTTGTAACTTTTAATAGTCAAGAGACTCAACAAAAACGCCTTATAATATGAAAATTATTTTGTAACTTTTAATAATTGGAGGATTCAACAAAGCACTATCCTATAGTCATAGTACCATTTGTATACTTTACCTTTTTTAAAATAGTATTATGTAATCAACCTACTTTTTTATTTTTTCATAATTATAATGTTTTTGTTGAAAAATAATTAAAAAAAACCTTAGCAATTTGTCCCATTAGACCTTTTTGACATACGGGGAATGAATTATGAATCGTGCGAGATTCATGAAAACAAAGATATAAAAAGGTAATCGTGAGGGGCGTGCGAGACAGCAAGTGAACCTGTGGTGCGCGCTCGACAAAGTTGTTCGAGACGTTCATTTCCTTACGAAAGAAAAGGTAAATTATGAATTTCATTACTTAATTTTACTCTCTTATTTTACTCATTAAATTTTTTTTATTAAAATTAATATATTGAGTTTTTTTATCACTGAATTTTATTCTTTCTTATTTTGATCATTCCGTCGTTAAATAGTTAACGGTGTTAAAAACGATATGACGTTTTAAAAAAAATAAAATTTTCACCAAAACGACATTGTTTTGCATCTATATAACATTTTATTTTAACGCCGTTAACTATTTTAACAGCTGAGTGACCAAAAAAAACCCAATGTATTAAGTTCAGTGATGAAATTGAAAGGATTTAAAGTACAATGAGTGAAAATAAGAGAGAGTAAAGTTTGGTTTTCAAATTTGTAATTTACCCTAAAAGAAAATCAACTAATGAGTCCTTTTCTTCCCGAATCTCTCTATATATTCGTGCTCAAATCCTCACTTTTCTTCTCAAACATTCTTCATCAACCAACTCAAATCAGCTCAAAATCAAAACAAAGTCCCAGCAATGGAAATCTTCACAAAAATGCTGACAATCCTAGACATTGAAAGGAGATTATCCATTTCAAATGGTTGCATGCAAGCATTACCTCACTTCAAAGGCTGCCATGGAATAGTGTTGCAGGTTAAAGACGACAGTGGAGTGTTCTGGAACTTTCGCTTCATGCTCGGATCCGGGTCGTCCCGGAAACTGGTTATGGATTCGGATTGGATCAAATTTGTACGAAGTAAAGATCTACGTGAAGGTGATATGGTGGTTCTTCACAAGGAGGAAGACATGATTACAGGGATAGGGTACAAAATCAAAGTGAAGAAGTTTAGCAGTTTGAATTTTGTAAGATGAAGAATGAATGAATGAAATTCAAAGTATTTCAATGAGTTCATTGTACGTATAATTTAATTTGAATTTCTAAAAATTTTAGGGGACTAAATTAATTTTTCAAAAATTAAAGGTTAAAATTAGAATTTTTTAAATTTTAGAAGGGCCATATCCTCCTCTAATCCAACTTGTGTTCTGTCCTGATCATACGATGTAATATATGATTTATTACCATTTCAAACTATAAAAAAATTATAATGCAACTCTTTCCTTAAAAAAATATAATGCAACTCTCTTATCATATCACGTTGATACTTTTTATGCATGTATTACGTTCCTATTATGATTTAATAATTTTAAAATATAATTATCACATCTATAATTACAATCACAATTTAATAAAAGACATCAATAAATAGTTTTTTTTAAACATAAAAAAGACCAAAGATTTAGCCTCTCTCTTTTTCTTCATTCGTCAGTCAAAGTGAGTAGCGCGCGTGACGCGGCGGACGTAAGGCGTAGCTTTAGAAACCCGGCGACGAATCATTCAGTCGCGCGGTAAAACGCCATGCAAAATGTACGTCCACCTCATTGGTTCTCTAAATTTCTTTTCTCGTATCAAATTTTTTTTATTCCATTGGATTCTCATTTATTAATTGATTAATTTAGATCGGATACTGTTAGGGCCGACCCTGGAGGGGCTCCCGCCCAAGGCCCATAATATTATGTCGACTCAGCATATATATTTTTGGCCCAGAAAATTTCAATCAATGTCTAATTTTCTCACTGAAAATTATATACATCAACCCATTTAATCAACATATAGACTGCATATATCTTTTATTTCATTTAAAATAATTATATGATTTTGTTCAAGAATATAATTTGATAAATTTATTTGTAATATGGGAATCACCCATGTGATCAAATGGAAAAGCATTTGAAAGCAAATCTCCATGAAAAAGAAAAGGTATAATATCAAATAAGTCTCTAACGTTCGATTAAATAATCATTTTAATCCTTTTTTGAATCATTTTAATTCAACTTTTTTTAAGATAAAAAACCTATGAGATTTGACTAAATAGTCACTTGATTTTTTTTAATATTTCGGTACCTACTGTTTCATTTTAGAAAGAATATATGTATTTTAGAGAGTCGATAATTTGTTGACTAACGGTTTTCATCCATGGTGGATTTTTTTACTCCAAAATAAACTATTGGATTAAGAAATGCTTAAACACGATGTTTAATTTAAGAAATGATTTTCCACGAGACAATATTTTTACACTAAAATCAATGATTCTGCATTAGGAAATGCTAGGAGGCAATATTGTTATAAGTATTTGTATACTTAAATATATTTTTGACATTGTATTAAATTATTGTTTGTTTAATTTAATAAAAAAATCTAATATAAATTTTATATTACATATTTTATTTTTTAATTAGGGGCTTATTTTTTTATTTCGACTCGATACAAAAAATAGTCAAGACTGACCATGCGGGTTCACATATGGCCATGCGAGTTCATTTTCTGAAATGAAAGTGTTTTTCTAAGTTAAAGATTGTTTTTTTCTCATAAGTTAGAGATTATTTTTTCTCATAATAAATTACGATAGGCTTTTCTAAGCTGAAATTGTTAAAAAATTACTTGAGGTTAACAATGTCACAAGAAACATTGAATGAGCTACCTATGTTATGTAATGAAAAAAAATATGTTGAAAAATATTGATGTTGACGCTATGATTTTATATCAAAAAATGCTTGAAGACAATGTTTTCTATAAATTTTTGTGCTTTAATATTTTTTTGACATTATTGAGATGGTAATTAATTACTAGTTGTTTATTTTAATAAAAAAATTAATATCAATTTTATACTATATATTTTTTATAATTTTTTAAAATTAGGGGCCCATTTCTTTTATTTCGCCCCGGGCCAAAAAATACCCAGAGCCGACCTTGGATACTGCATAGACAAGGGCAACTCTCTCAACCTAGTTTGTTTTATTCACAAACGTTAGGATTCAAACAGTTGACCTTACTGAAGGGTTTCCCGCATCAATTTTTTAGACATATTTTTATATATCTTTATTTAACTTATTAGTTATTACTAAAACCGACTCCTCTCATAAGGGAGTTCGTGTTAGTTGATCATTGATTTGCCGTCCCAAAGATGAA